CCCAGGCTGCTGCGGGTTGTGTGGTCCGACTCGCTGCCGCTGCCACCTGACTTCGAGTCTCCAGCCTTCGGGTCTTTCTCTTTCCGCCGGTCGCTGCCGCTGCGGTTGGAGCCACTGCTCCGGCTGCCTGTAGGGGACAGGCAGGGGCAGGGTGGTGGATGTTCAAGAGCTCTCGGAGGAAGCCTGGGTCTCCTCCACCTTGTCTCCTCCATCTTACCTTCACTGTGCTGACTGCTGGCACTGCCCCCGCCGTAGCTGTACCCCAGCTCCGGGAAGCCTGGGTGCGGGTTGTAGGGGTGCGGGGGTGGCGGGTACTGGTAGGGGAAAGCCATGGGCCAAGGGGCAGCCCCCGGGTGCGGCAAAGGGGCCAGTGTGTCCTGGTCAGAGGCACCGCTGGAGCCGTCGTGATCGTGGAGGGACAGGTTGGCCATGTCTGTGGAGGGCAGGAGAGGGCCGGATGTTGGGACTCCCCCATACCTTTGCACCTCTGTCAGGAGGGAGGTCCCAGCCTAGGCTGCATTGGATGCATATGAGATGACAACAGCAGTGGTAGTTTCCCACCATTATGGGAGGAGGCATAGGCCAGAGAGCTCACATTCCTTCTTAAACCCTCCCCACCACCCAGCAGAGATGGTAGAGAGGGAGCCCCTGCAGACAGCCCCAGGGAAAACCCTTCTCAGGGAGGCCCCAGTCACCATTCCTAGCCTCAATGCCAAATCCTAACACCCAACTCCCAGAAAAGCCTTTGGCAGTTTCTCCTCCTTCCTCAGTGGACTGGAAGGGACAAAACTCACTCTGTTCACTGAGGGCAGTGATTTTCAACTGGTGTGCCACCAGAATTTTTAAAACACGCAGTACCTGACTAGTGAGGGGCTCTGACCTCTTTTTCCTTAGATTGTCAAATAAAAAGAGTGGCCAACACAACAATAACCGTCCCATGTGAGTGAGTCAAAATTATACCAATCTTTTTTGTCAGGTTGACAAAACAATTTGTGTGTGTGTGTGTGCCACAGAATTTTAGTCTTTAACTTATATGTGCCATGAGATGAAAAAGACTGAAAATTGCTGACTTAGAGGGTAAAAGGTAGAGGAATGTAGGAGGCTGAAATCTCAGACAATGATCAGGTAGGTACTGCATACCTGCAATTCATTAGGCACAATACAAAACACTATTTCATACAAATATTACCCCGACCCTATGAAGAAGGTGCTAGGCACATTTTTTCCAGATGAAGTAAGTGCAGTCCAGAGAGGTTAAATGACCAGCCTGAGTTCAACCTAAACTGTAGGCAGAACAGAAGCTAAAAGTTGCTAACTTTTTTACATTTCTAGATGAGGAAATTAGTAAGGAGTAGGGAGCAGTTTGGTGAAATTGTGCCCTCCCCTCACCTAACACTAAAAAAAATACCCATTAAAAACCAGAATGAACATAGGGCCTTTCAGAACCTCTCCATATAGAAGGCCATTGGCCAGAATCAATTTCCTGGTGCTGCTGGGGAGAGTGGAAGTGGGGTGGGAAGGGCCCAGAAAGAGAACAAGTTAGGTGCCTCGTCTGTGCTCTCCACCCCATTCCCAGGGAGGCGTGGTTCTTCATTGTATTAACATTACTTCTTTCATGACTCTGGCTCCCCCAGTAAATGTTAAGGATAAGGATGCCCCCACTAATGTTGGAACTACCTGGAAGGGAGTTTAAGGGGCCACTAGGACTAATGACCTGCCTTGGACACCCCTTACTCACACCCCATCTGTACCAGGTCCCAGAGGCCTGCCAGATATAGACTGAGCCCTTTGTTCCAAGCCCTTAAGTAAGCCAGCCCAACCTTCCAGGGGAGAAGAGATAAGGAGAGGGGGCCCAAGGGGGCTAAAGCAGCCAATGAAGTCTTCCAGCCAAGCCATGAACTTGTCAAGGCCAGCAGCTAGCATGAAGGGTGGTGGTGGTGGTAGTAAGCAGGGGCCTGCCTTGGCTCATGTTCCAGGAGCTGGTGACTATTTCAGCTTCCAGGCTATCCCAAGGGGAGTGACTATGTGTTCCTGGGGCTACCCAGGTCCTCGGCTTTTCCCTTTGAGCTTGCCACACTCCCAGCTTAGGACACCTCAGCCAGTGAGAAGGAAAAGACCTGTTATGTCAGTATCTCCCTGAGCTGGGCCTCTGGTGCCAGGTCCATGGGTAGAAGATCCAGGAGGACCCAGGGACAGAAGGATGTCTCTTGAGCAAAAACTAGAGCTCTTCTGAAAAGCTTTATGTGTCCCTGGAAATTTGGGATCAGGGCTGATTCTGCTAAGGATGACAATACACTGGGGCCTTGACTTACGAGTTTAACGAGCTCATTAAGGAGCTCGTTAACTCAAATTACTCTATCAACTCAATGCAAAAAATCGGCCGAGAGACAGCTGGTATCTCAAAAAACTCGTTAGTCGGGACACTCGTAAGTCAAGGCCCCACTGTATCACACTTGATTGAGTCTAAGAAACCACTGGTTGTAAGATGCACTCCAATTTCAGACACTGAAATGTGAAATAAGTGTTCATCTTAGAGTCAATTAAATATATGAAGAATGGACTTTTTAAAGGGTACTTTCTGTGGGCTAAACATGGTGCTGAAAGCATTATATACATTACATCGTCCTCAAAACAGCTCTATGATATAGATTCTACTATTACTTCCACCTTACAGATCAACAAATTGAGGCATTGAGAGGCTGTGTCACTCATGTTCACACAGTAAGGGTGGTGCTAGGATTTGAACTCAGAGCTATCTAACTCCAAAACTCTGTGCATCTACTCCATGTGGCCACACTGGAACAGCTGAGGGCCAGGGACCCACCCTCCACCAGGACTTGTGCTCTGCAGAAACAGCTTTTCTGGTCCCTAGAACCTAATCTGAAGCATTTTAAGAGTTAGTTTTTGGACTCCAGCCAGCACCACTGGGCTCAGAGAAGGTTCCCTCAGGTAGAGGTGGCTGCTGGGGGAGGGTTTCAGCTCCCAACACTGAGCGATGCTGTCCTGTTTCGAAGACTCCCCTTCCAAAGGGCTTCAGAAAGAGAAGAGGGCTTCCACGCAGACCTCTCCTGCTTACTAACCCTAACTGGCTTTGCACTTTTTCAGGATCAAGTCCAGCTCCTGTGATAGCTTGTAGAATCCTCTACAACAGGAGTGGAGAACCTTTTTTCTGCCAAAGGCCACTTGGATATTTATAACATCATTCACAGGCCATATAAAATTATCAACTTAAAAATTAGCCTGTTATATTTAGTCAAACATTTAATTAACTCACCCCTAATGCCTTGGCAGGGCCAGACCAAATGATTTCGAGGGCCTTATACCATCCACAGGCTGGACATTCCCCACCCCTCTCTACAACCTGGCCCTGATAGCTTCTCTAGCTCCATCCTGAAGCACAGTCCCTCCACAGAGGCCTGAGGAAGCTGTGGACATGGGGCCTCAGACAAATCCTAGGCCCTAACCTGGTGGACCCTGCTTGATGCTGGGAAGCTAAGCAGGGCCCAAGGAAAGGAACTCTGGCCTTGCTAAGACAATGTTTCTGCACCACTACACACCTGGTCAAACCCAGATGGTGGGAAGAACAAGGGCTCTGGAGCCAGAAAGACCTGGAACCATGGCCTAGTTTCTCTGCTTCTAGTAGTGAAAGCTGGGGTGGACTATTTACCGTCTACATATCTCAGTTGCCTCATCTGAAAACAGGGATAGTAATCCATCTCCCCAAGGGCAGAGAGGAGGTTGTGAGGACTGAGTGACAGAGTGAGATGATGTTTTAGAAACAATCAGCATGGTGCCAGGCACTTAGAAAATGCCAGCCCCTCCAGGGGACGTAAGGCAGGTGAAGAGGCTGAACTGGGTTCTGCTTCCACCACAAAACTCTCAGGCCTTGAGCTGGGAGCCCAGCTCTGCTGCCCCCTCCTCTGGGTTCCCTGGAGTCTGCCGCCACACCCCTGGGCACCGCCCCACTCCCAGCCAGAAGACAGGGCAAGGAAGGGGGGAGGCACGTACTGCCGCAGAGGTCACCGAAGATGTAGTAGCACTGCTCGGAGAAGGTGATCTTGTTGACAGTGTGGCGGATGAAGCCAGCTTTCAGCAGGTTGCTTGCATACTTGCGGGCTTCTCGCCGGTCAGTGAAGCCTTCCACGTTGTGGTACAGCCAGTCCACCACATCCGAGCCTGGGAGCAAAGCTACCTTTGATTGGGAGGCCCACCTTGGGCTCATCTGGCCTCACAGAAGCCATGAGGCTGGGCCTAGTTCCAGCTCAAGGGAGTTATTGGGCGCCTAGCCTATCCTGCTCCCTCACTGCCCACCACCCCATCCTTCATCCCACCATGGGGCCCTCTCACCGATGAAAGCGTTGGGGATAGTGATCTTGAGCCACATGCGGTCTCGGACCTCCAGCCCGGATTCAGGGGAAGCCATGGCTTTCACAATGGCAGCCATGTCACTGTGGATGGACAGGTGAAAGTCGTCTAGGCCTGGGGGTGGGAAGCAAAATGGTCAGGCAGAAAGGGGCTGTGGAGGTAGGCAGACGGGAGTTTGCATTCCAGTTCTACCGCCTAATAAATATGGACCAGTGTTGGACAAATTATTGACTTCTTGGACACTCAGTTTCTCCTGTAAAAATAGGGACTTTCACGTCTACTTTATAGGGATGTTTGAAGATAATTAAATAATGTAAATGAAGGTGCTTAGTATAGTGCATAACAAGTGTTATGATGATAAAAATGGCAGTCATTATTACGTGCTTACTTTATGCCACACACTGTGGCAACTGCTTCACTTATATCCTCTCATTAACCCCCAGGAACCTGGTAACGCGCACATCATTAGTCCCATTTTACAAGAGGAAACTGAGGCTCACTGGGTGCTCAATACCAGTTCAGAAGCAAACACTGTTTAGTGAGCTTCGGGTGTCCCGAGGGAAGCTGCAGTGTGAAGTAGCTGGAATGAGCTGAGCCCCCTCCGGCCCCTCTGCCTTTCAAGCAAGTCTCCACATGGGCCTTCATCAGTCCCTCTCACCTGGCCCTGTCTGCTGGGCCCAGGGGACAGGGTTGGACACTCACGCTCTGTGTCAGGAATGGAGCTGGTGATAGAGGAGCTGGTGGAGGTGATGGTGCTCAGGGAGGGGCTCATGCCGTAGGCAGGGAAGGTGCCAGTCATGGCTGCAGTGTGGGAGACCCAGGCCGCAGGGTCAATGGGCCGGATGGGCTCGCCTGCAGGGAGGATGAGGAGTTAGGGGCTGCCCACCCTGCCCAGTGCTGGGCCCAACAGGGTAGGTGTGAGGGTTCAGGGCAACACAGAAGGAAGGAGAGACAGAGCTCGTGTATGCCAGACACCAGTTTTAGGGCCAAGTTCCCCATCCACTTACTCCTGGGCAATGTGAAGCAACCACGTGGACTTGGGTCCCAGCACTTGGCTACAGTCAGGGTGATGGGCCTGAAAGCAAGGGTGTCCCTAGTGAGGGCAGGATGTATGGAGGCGAGACCAAGCCCCTTGCCTGATAGCCAGAAATGCCTGGCACCTCCTCCGTAATGCTTCAGCCCATCCATACCCTGGTTTGTGCACAATCTCCCGCAGTACCCGGACTGCGTCGTCATTACTCATGTTCTCAAAGTTGATCTCGTTTACCTGGGAAATAGGACCAGGAATGGGATAAGCAGCTGTGCTGGGGAGGGAGTTAGGGAAGCTTGGTGGATCAGGAGGTCTTCCCCACCAAGAAGGGGCCTCTGAATAGGGTAGAGAGGGTAGGAAGAATGAGAAGGGACAGAGGGTACATCTCCCCAACTCCCTATCTATACCACCAGCCACAGTGAACAATGGTACCTGTAACAGCATATCTCCTGGCTCGATGCGTCCATCAGCAGCCACGGCCCCACCCTTCATGATAGAGCCAATGTAGATGCCTCCGTCACCACGCTCGTTGCTTTGGCCCACAATGGAGATGCCCAAGAAGTTATACTTTTCTACAGGGAGTAATAAGACCTTGAGATGGGAGCAAGGTTCCTAACCAAATTCTGAGCCCCTTATTAGAAAGAGTGTAAAGGGACAAGAGCTAACATTTATTGAACTGGAACCAGGCACTGGGTTCAGCATGCTCAATAGGCTTTCATTAATCCTTGCTGGATGTGAGGAATGGACGCTCAGTCTCATTTTACAGAGTAGACAACTGAGGTTCAGAGAATTTAAGTGACTCTTCTAAGCCATTAAATGGCAAAACCAATATTCAAACTCATTTAAATTCCAGACAAAGTTGGGGCTCTTTTCACTACACCCAGCCATCTCTTAAAAGAGTGGGTAGGGCAGAAATCAGGGAACAAGAATGCAACAGCTAAAACATGGGAAATGGGAAGCAATCAGAAATCACTTCCTCCAGGAAGCCTTCCCTGATGCTTTTCTCTGCTTCCATAGCTGTGTGTGCTTCTCTCTGGCATAGCCCTGATCATGAGATACTGAAATAATAGTTTAGGTTTATGAAAGAGAGCTCCTTGAGGGCAGGGAACATAACTTGTGTCTCTTTAAACTCCTTGAGTCTGCCCAGTGTCTGGCATACAGTAGGCACTCAAGAGTGTTGTTTCACCAGACTCACCCATGTTGAGAGTGACCGTGATGATGTTGAGTGACATAGTGGAGTCCGTGATGCTGCTGAAGGATGAGGACTGGAATAGATAGAGACTCTGAGCAGCAGGCAGGGGTGGCAGGAACTCACTGCTCTCCCCTAGCTCCTCCTCAAGGTGAGCCTTCAGCCACCACCTTCCCTCTAAGGTTCTAAACACTGACCCAAGGGGAGGGGATCTAAGGACGGATAAGCCCTGGCCTTGCCCCACTCATCCCTAGCACCCCAGGTCCCATACCCGCTCAATCCGGGAAACCTTCTGCTTCCGCCGCCGCCGCTTGTGTCTTCTCATCAGGCGTGAGGCACTGCTCTGCTCTGTGGAGCTGCTGAACCTGTGGGGCCCACAGTCGTTCCCCACCAGGCTGACCTAGCCCTGCCCCGTAAGAGGCACTGCAGGGCCCAGGTCCCCAGCACAAAGCCCACATCCCTCCCAGGGGCCCAGTATCCTCAGGGTTCAGGGCTCCTCAGGGGTCACCTGCCCACCAGTCCTCATGAAACCAAGGCCCTACCTGCTGGTGGAGTCATCCTCCTCAGAATCAAAGAAGCTGGTGGTCTCCAACTCGCTGCTCATGAGGGTAGTCGAGCTGTCGTAACCCCCTGGTTCTCGCCGCCGCTCCCCTTTTGCAGTTCCATTTAGCCGGGTTGCTGCAGGGGATAGAGGCAGCTGGGTTCACAGTGCCCAGTGTAGGAGGGAAGGGAGGAGAGGCAGGCTAGGGGCTGCACTGGGGCCAGTCCTATCCCGAGCTCAGGAAGTTGGGCAAAGAGGTGGTCAGCTGAGTGGAAGCTGTGGGGAGGGCACAGGGATGGGGAAGGCATCTGTTCAGGGAAGACGCACTGTGCTCTGGGCCGTCCCTCCTGCGAGGCCGCTCCCGCTGGGCAGACACCAAGGAGTCCGTCTCTGTGTCATTGTCCAGGTTCTCCTGGCTGCCCCCACCAGCATGAGGGCTGCAGGGAAGATAGGACTTGGTGGAGGAGGGGGCAGGCTGGGGGCTCCCTCCCCCAGCCCTGGGCTGAGCTGACCTGGCCCTCCCCACAGGCCCTTCCTACCCTCAGGTCACACTCACTGGAAGGATGGCGGCCGGGAGTCCCCAATGCCTCCTGTGCGCTCCATGGGAGGTGGCAGCTCCGATGGGTTATCAGCACAGAAGGGAGCTGGCTCTGGGTGTGAGCCTTCAGCTGACACCAGCTGACGGGGAGAAAATGGGTAGGTAGTATGGCACGAGGGCACGTAGGATAGTTGGCTTCTGGCAGGGCATGAAGACTTGGGGAGAATGAAGCAGGGGGCACGGAGGGAAAAGAGACAGGACTATGCAAGGACAGCTGACCTGAGGAGCAGACCCACTGCCAGGTGGATGGTGTCAGGGAGGCATGGGCTGGTGAAGTGGGATGGGGGCAGAGGGTAAGGGTCCAAGGCAGAGTTCAGCAGGTGACAGAAGGGAACCTGAGGCAAAGTGCCTCCAAGGGCATAGGAAACAATTTTGCCTCCTATGTATGTTTCTGTAGCCGCCTTTTCCCTTTCACACCACTCCCCCAGTTTCACCAAGGCTATAGAATTTGGGGTAGAAACTGTTCAGTTAGAAACTCAAGGACAGTTCAGATACTGAAACATAAAACCATCAGCTATAACCTTAGCAATGTCTTTCCTCCGTCCAGCCCATGGCAGGAATGTGGACGGAGGGAGGGTTGAGGAAGGATCCTTACCCAGGACACCACCCGGCCATTGAAGCAGGGCAACTTGGCATTGTCATCTGAGATCTCCTCCTTCACCACTCTGCAGGGAAAGGGAGGTTGTCAATGAGCTTTCTGGGGTAGAAATGGAGGTGTCCTCACAATCCCAACTCTCAGGGGCTTCTCCACCCTAAACTGGGAATCAAACCACCAGCATCAGCCTGTTCAAACAACAGCATGGGTGGGGGTGACCCAGCTGCCTTCCTGGTCACCTGACAAATCGCTGTCCCCCATGAGTGCAACCACTCCCTAGAATCTCAAGAGTGCTTTATCCATCCCCAGTAAAGCTCTCATGGGCTGGACTTTTTCTTTCCCTCTGACCCTAAACTAGGAAAAAGCACACCCTGATTACTGTCCTTCCCTTCTCAATTGGGAATCCTGACATTCTTCTGGGAGGTGTGGGCGAGGAATTTAAGAAAATTAGGAAAGAAAAATGGAGAAGACATTTACTGCCGTTATGATAAAACTAACAATTGCTCTCATTTATTGAGCATGTATTATGGGCCAAGCACTAAGTGAACACTTTACTTGTATCATTTCATTTACTACAGCAATGCTATATATAAGATACAGATGGGGAGACGAAGGTTCAATAGGTTCAGAAATTCACCTATAGGGACACCACTAATAAGTGAAGTGCTGGAATTTGAATCCTCATCAGCCTGACTCCAAAGCCTTTATTCCTACCAATTATACCATCTTATCTCCCCACAGTGATAATATATATTCTTCACATCAGCCTCATTGTGTAGACAATATGATCCCCATTTTATGAATAAGGAACTGAGAAACATTCAGTAACTTGTCCAAGGCCACAGAGCTAGAAGATGTCAGAGTTGAAATTCAACCCCAAGCTTGTCTGACTCTAAGTCCCACACTCTTTTGACAGTATTTCACATTCTCTCCTGTACAATGACAGAGGTGATGTGGGTCTGTGTGGAAGGTGAGGTGGGGGAGGCAGTGATGTGAGGCATGGGGGGTGGGGGTGGGATGTGGTCACAGGCATGCAGTGAGGCAAGAAGTCAGACTATGACCACAGTTTGGGGCCAGCGAAAGAAACTGGAATAGTTTGAGGTCCCCCAGATTGCATCAAACACCCAGGAGGACAGAGCCGGAAAGATGTGATTAGGGGCAAGAGGGAGACACATGCCTGAAGTTGTGAGCAGAGAGTGAAGACACTAAGGAAGGAGGCTGCGAAGCCCAGTCTCCCTGTTCTTGAAGAAGTTCTGCCCAGAACTGGGAACGTGCTTGGCTCCTTGTGATGTTCACATTCTTGGACTCACAGCCAAGTTCGAAGGCCGAGCCTACCCTCCTCCCTCCCATCCAGCCCTGGCTCCTCCATCATTTCCAGCCCCACAATGACCCCGAGAAAGCAGCTCAAATCATCCTGCTCAGGGCCATCATGGCAGAAAGCCTGGAGACAGAACAGGCGGGAGAGAAGGGACAGAGAGGGGTAGCTCAGACCTGTCAGCCAGTCCAGCCACAGGACACCCTAAGCTTGTAGCCCCCTGTGGGAACTGGGGCTCAAAAGAAAAAGAGGGTGCGTGGGACATGTGGCAGGGACTCTGTGACCTGCTTCAGAGAGGGTCTCCCTGTGGTGGGAAACCGTGGCTGAGTCCCCACAACCCTCTCCCCCAGCAGGCCCCACCACACAGCTCCAGCTACAGATGTTTCCTCTCTTTCTGGGGGTCACTGACAGGTCGCCAAGGCTCTGTTGACTCATAACGATCAGCTGATCAGCCTCAGAAAGCCCCCCTTCCCAAGTGGAGCTAAATGGCTCAGGGTTCCACTGCACACGAGCACACACGCGTGAACACACACACACACACACCACACTCTCACGAACTTGGGTTTAAATTCCAATTCTGCTACTTATTAGCCCTCCCATCTTAGAGAAGTTTAACTTCTCCAAGCCTTTGTCTCATCCTGGTAAATGGGATTTGTAAATGCCTGGCACAGTCCAGGCATACCATAAAAGCTAGTTTCTAACTTTGTGAATTTTCAGCAAGACCCATACTCTCTTTCTAATTAGGAGTAAGTTTGCAAGGGCAGGAACCAAACACATCTGCTCATCATTCACCGTTCATGCAATTAAAAAGCCTTTGCTGAGAGAGAGCGCCCAGTGTTTTAGATCCCGTGCTTGCCGTTGTATGAACCTCAAGAAGCATCAGACCTGGAGCCTGCCTTGTTCTCTGAGGTTACAGTCCAGTGGACAGTCCACATAAGCATATTCCAGGTGGGAAGTGGTCAGAGTGGTAAGACCAGCAGAGGTGTTCATTGGACAGACACCTGCTGAGTGATACAGATGTCAAGTCCTGGCTAGGAGCAGGTGGATGCATAAATAGGATAAAATACCATAACTTTAAAAGCTGAACCCAGAGGACAGGAGAATTTGGACATGGAGAAGCAGGGGGAAGAAGTGTGTTACAGGCAAAAGGCCCAGAGGCAGGACAGTGTGACATGGAGCAGGAGAAACATAGTTAGTGACTCTACTTCCCATGTTGCCCCTTCCCACAGCTCAAGGCCACTCTAGCATTGGGTACACTATCTCCTCAGTGGTAAAAATGCTCATTCTTCTTCCATTTCCCAAATAATTTAAGAGGGGTGGGCCTACCCTGAGCTTGACAAATACTTCTGGAGCCCTCACAAACCAGCACCTCAGAGGGTGAGCCTGGAGGGGATGCAGAGACAGCAGCCCTCGTCCTCTGACCCACCGCCCAGCTGTCAGTAGGGGTCACTGGCCGCTGCCTGACCTCCTCTTATGGGGCTAGGATAGGTGGCAGCCCCATCACCTCTACAGTTTGCCAAGGCTCAGCATCTCCCTCAGAGAGGATGCATCTGTAAAATGGTGATAATAATAGTAATACCTACAACAGTGGGATTAAGGCCTTGGACTTTAGAGCCAGATTCCTGATGTTGAATCAAGCTTTGCCACTAACTAGCCAGACGGTGTGACCTGGGTAAGTTACTTCAGGTTTTTGTGCTCTAATTTCCTCATCTGTAAACTGATGGTATTACTACCTACTTCATAGGGCTGATAAGAGAATTAAATGAGTAAAAATTAGAAAAGCACTTAGATCAGTGCCTAGTACACTGTAAGCGCCATAAAGAGTTTGTTAAATGTGTACGTGCACACACACACACACACATACACACACACATTCCTCTATTCCTCAGCTATTAGTCGTCTGTGGTAAACCTACCAGGTCTGCTCATTAAGCCTTCTGGGGATAAAAACAAAATCAATCTCCAAAATCAATCTCCTCCATTTCATTTTTAGCATTGTTCTCAACCCTGTAAAAATGGCCTACTCTGATACTTTACCAAGGATGGTTCAGGTACCAGCGACATATGCAAGATGTGTTCAGGTGTTACCTGAATGCACATTGCTTAATTCAACAGTTAACATTTATTTTTAACATATCTTATAAAGAAATATAAATAGAAAATGGGTGATTTCCTATTATTGATTTGGTCAAGCTAAGAAAGAGTGAGTGGACTGACAGTGAATTTAAAGAACAATATTGTCAACAGTGAGCCGATGTAATGGGGGGCCTCCTGTGACTGCAGTGAGGCCTGGCCTGGGGTAGGGCCCGTGCACTGGACTCCAGCTGATCTGCCCTACCCATACCCTGAGGCAGTATCTCAGCCTCTCCTAACTCTATTCTTCTCTTACCCGGCCAAGGCATCACCCCCTCCCTCCCATCCCTTGCAGATGGATTTCATCCTTCTTCCGAATTTTCCAAAGGGGAGTCCCTAGAGAGGCCGGACCTCCAGGATCGGAAAGCAGGGGTGTCTGTCTCTGGACTGAGGCCAGGCAATATTAGACATCGGAGCTCCCCGCCCCAGGGTAAGTCTGACAACAGAAAGGAGTTAGAAGCCGAACAGCACTTTCCACTAGAAAAGCACTTTCACACACAGGAGCTCATGGGCTCATCGAACCCTGAGTTCTGGGGGGGGGGGGGGGCGGAAGGTGACACAAGCATGCCAGGCAAAGGAGGGAGAGGGTGCTTGCTGCCCAGGGCCAGGAGGGCCGGGGTCCTGGGAGGGGAGAGAAGCCGGACGGATGGACGGACGCACGAACATTGGGAAGAAGAATGTCTTCCCTCACTAGGCGCTGGGGCCTCAGCTGAGAGCAGTGCAGGCCTCTGGCCAGGGCTGCAGAGGCTGCCTCCAGGCTTCCCCACAGGCCTCCAGGCCCAGCGCCCAGTTAGTGTGGGGGCCTTCCCCGCCCCCCGTCCCCCAGGAGTTGGGGTGTGTGTGCGGGGATGGCCAGGCTCCCCCTCCCAGGCCAGCTGCTAAGGAACCTTCCGGCTCCAACATTCCATCCCTCCTTAAAGGGGAAGTCGCTGCTTCCAAACTCGGCCTGTCCAGAGCCCACAGCTGGGGGAGGAGGGCACCAGGCCGGCAGGGAGGGGAGGTGGGCGCCGGGGGACGCTTCCCGGGCCTCCTACCCGGGCTCCGAGGCCCTTTCCAAGACCACCCTCCGGAGGGAAAAGGCCCCCATCTGGGGAGGCAATCAGCACCTGGGCTAGTGCGGGCTCCTCCTTCGGGGTCAGGCGTTCTGCTCCCTTGACAACCTCCGACACACCCCGCAAGGAAACGGGGAGCAGCTAGACTCCCGGTCTGCAGGCCTGAGCGGCCAGCCTGGCGCCCGGGCACCCCTCGCCTCCCCCTCCCCGCAGTTCCCAGCCCCGCAGCACAGCGCTGGGAGGCTCGGTGCTCCAAATATGGCTCGGAGTGTGGAGCTGGGGAGAGGGAGAGGGAGAGGGCCGAGAGCCAAACACCCCGAGTCTGGGTTTAAAAGGTGGCTCCCTGGGCAAGCGGGGGGGTGGGGGGCTCGGGGGCTCGGGCTCTGGGACTGGGAGGAGGGGTGTGTGTGTGTGTGTGTGTGTGTCTGAGCCGCTGGTCTCAGAGGTGAGCGGGCTTCCTGGGCTGGTCCTGATTGCTCTTGGGGAGTTGGACGCCCCCCTAAACGAGAGCGAAAGGAGCGTCCCTAGAGAGGCTGGGCTCCCGGGTCTGAAACAAGCAAGGGGAGCCCAAACGGCCGAGGGCCCCCAGCATCCAGAGCAGGGCTGGGAGCCAGTGCAGCCAGGGGAGCGCCAACTGCCGAGCGGCCTCTGGAAGCCGGAGGGGCCGGGGTCCCCCGGAGGCGAGGCGGGGGCCATCCTCACCCGAAATCGTCGTCCATAGACTTGAAGAAGAACTTGTAGCTGGGCCGCTGCAGGACGCCCTTAAAGTCCGCCAAGGTGACGCGCTCGGCGGGCAGCGGCAGCTTCACCAGGTACGGCGTCTCCTGCCCGTCCAGGTGGTAGATGATCTTGGTCTCGCCCATGGCTCCGCCA